TTATATTTCTCATTTTAAATAAGTATGAATTTTTTACTGATCCCTCCGATATTTTATTTTAAATAAGTTTCTGGAATTTATTTTATATTTGTTATTTTAAATAAGTTGTGTCAATTATTTACCACTTCCTGGACTGTTTCTATTTAGATTATCACACCTCGAGAGAAATCGACTAAGGGTAATTTAATTAGCGATTAAACATTACTTAATTTCTATGCATGTCTCATTGGATTGTGCTGAAGAGGCTGCGAGTATTTCAGTATCAAAGATAGCGCATCCTATGAATTTTCTTCGAAACGGCTGCGGTGAAAAAATCGGGCTACGGTCTATTAATTAGCGATTAAACATTACTTAATTTCTATACATGTCCCATTGGATTGTGCTGAAGAGGCTGCGAGTATTTCAGTATCAAAGGTAGCGCATCCCATGAGTTATCTTCGAAACGGCTGCGGTGAAAAAATCGGGATAGGCGCGATTAATTAGTTACTAAACAGAAGTTAATTTCTATGCAAGTCCATACATACTAAAATTTGGTTTGTGTTAGGTCAGTTTTTTCGAGTTGGACTTCTCTGTAAGGGGGCGAAATACACTGCTTCCACGTATACACTTTTTATTGCAAAGCGATTCCACATGGATTGGTTTTCCATGCGAGGTGAGATCAAATTCTACATCAAATTTTAGTTTGAGTAAGATTATGTTTTTTCGGAATGGGGGTGCAAAGAAGAACCTTCCTCTTCTCATTTATTTACTTAATTGTGCAAATATTATACATGATATCTAGACTAAAATAAAATTCAAATTAAGGAGTGAAACACATTTTTATATTGTTAATATTTTTATTAATAACTCTTTAATAAACAATAAGCGACTGCTAAATCCTTTTGATTGTTATTCGACGATGACATTGACCTAGACATTTACACCAAGCATTTGATACGCGTACTAACTAATAACTTTCTATTAAATTTTCTTAATTTTGACGATGCATGTAAACGTATACATGATATGTGTATTTAATTAATCATTTTAATGCATAGTGTATTAGCTTATAATTAGTACGTCATTCTTTAAATACATTGTATAAATTAAGATAATTTAATAGAAAATTTTTTCGGGTTCGATCCCTAGTTAGTACATATCAAGTGCTTGATATAAGGGTTATTGACAACGTATATCAAGATCATTGAAATTTATGAGGTTGTCATCGTTGTGAAATTTTATCAGATATACTTATAATTAAAATAATATTTAGTTGCTTTTAGAAAAAAATTTGGTTTTTTCAGATACTCTAGCGTTCTTTTTAGTGAAAATTATGTATAAAATTTATTTACCATTGGACACGTTATATGTCGCTTTGGTGCATACTTATATTTGAAACCAATGATGATTACATTATGGCCATAGACCGCACTTGAAGTTTCTTTTCTCACTTGCTCTCATCTTAACAAATGTTCTTCTTCCTCACACACATCACATTTATTCTTTTCTCCGTTCCTCTGACGTTATTTGTTCTGCTTTTTCGTCGCTCTCGTTAGCTCCCCAGCAAGCTTATCATATCTTGCTGTAGCCTTGTGACTGACAGTTTATCTCAGAATCTCCATTCGAATGGCACGCGGAGGTATCGAAAATGTTTCAAACATGAAAAAGTGTACTTGTTTCTCTTCTGTGGAGTTTCTTTTATGTGTTACGTGACCTTGTAAAATAAGACGAAAAAAATTCGGAACTGTCATATTTTCAATGCGAAAGAAAAGTGACGAAAAATGAACTCCATGCAAGAAATCAAGAAATAAAAAAAGATAGCATTAATATTAATATGGCAATAAGTAATAAGAAGTACAAATTTCTAATTTCATGTATATAAAAGTGCGAATTTTCTGTGAAATTTAAGATGTGTGTTAAATAAAAACATTTAGTTATTAATATTATAGTAATGCTATTATTATAAAAATATTTTTGATAAATTGTTGACAGTTCTTTTGCAGATAACATACAGCACATCTAATTATCTATATATTATAAAATATAGTATTGTTATATTGATATGATATTAATTATTAATTTGATATTTAATTCCTGATAACCATGGGTATATTCCATAATACACTGTTGAATATCTATAATATGCGTAACGTGAATTATAGATTTTTAGTACTAGTAGTGCATATCTTACAATCCGATACACTGTCCGTATTGATTTGTATTAAAACAAATTTTATCGTGCTATATTTTTTTTTATCGATATCATATATATATCGATAAGAAATTTTTTATTTTTTTTTAAATTTTCAAGGAAGAGACAAATAACCGAGTTACTAGAATACTATCAAAAAGTATTATATCGATCTCATCTGTATGATATCATCAGTGACGTCTCCCGCGCTCTCAAATTGTATCACTTCAGTCACTCGTTAACTGCCGATGTAAAACGACGTAATTTCTGCAGGTTAGTCTTCAGGTGCACATATTTTGTCTTTAACCATGAGTATGCATTTTAATTATTTGTTGGATTATATATGGATATATAAGCAATTACCTTATTTTGTTAAAAATGCTTAATTGCATTAAATTAGATATAAGAATTATAATAATTAACTAATAATTGTGAATTTCTATAAAGAAATTGCAGTGTTAAAATCATAATAAGATTTTTTTATATTGTTAAGCTTAGAAATCATTTTTTATTCTCAATTATTGAATTATTTTTAACCTTATTAACTTTATTAACTTTAATTTGTGATTGGTAGAAATCGAAGAATTTATATATTTTATAGAAATTAATTAATTAGATTGCTATTACTTTTGCTATTATTATATAGTACATTGTTATTATCAATTTTGCATAAAATTTAAGATTTTTTCAAATTTCTCAAAATTATTGAAAAAGATAAATAAATATTAGTACATATTAGTTTCATTTAGTATACTATATAATATATAATTTAGATAATATATTTTTAATTTGTAAAATGTAGGCGAAAAATATAGCACAATAAAATATAATTGGATGACACGTTGCGTGCAGAATCTTTGCGTTTAAGAACAAGTTAATATTGAACGAGAATTTATCGACCAGTAACAGATATGACTCAGTATTAATCAAAGTCGTTGCGATAAATTTTCAACTCGCGTATTTTACGTGCGTATGTCACGTGTTCAAAAATAACCTGTGATTATTACGGCGCTTATTTGTCCTTATAAAAGCGTTACTTTGTTTGTTTCCGCAATTTTAAATGTTCATATATATGATTTTATCAAGAAATGATAAAATCATATATATTATATACCTATATTAATAGAGCCTAAAAATAAATGTTTCTTATAGCTTAATAGAGAATAAGTACCTGACTTTGAAATTCTAATTAATTATATGTTTTATTCAATATTTTTTTACATTTCAATGTTACCTAAATGACTTTATCTTTCTCATTAGGGCTTGGGACCTGTAAAATTGATTTTATCATTATTTGTCCCCTTTCAGACTTTTGATTGAACATATTTTTGATTCTTTACTTTCTGCAAAGGCAAAAAGCGATAAATTAATAAATAGGACATCCTGTATATTAATATTGCATATATATTTTGTATTTTCACTCACTTATATAATCTTTGTCAACATCGTCTTTATACATACATTTATTGTCTCCAACAGATACCTATACACTTAATGGAAAGTGATTACAAAATTGCACAGGCGTGTCTATATTTGTCTCTTATCTTCTTGTACTTCAACGTAAAGATAAGTCCAAAAGACATGTTTGCAATAGTTCTGGTACTTATCTTATATTTATAGAAAAGTTAGTGGATCTATAAACGTATATGTATAATGCAAATATATATAATTTCATATATATAAGTTCAAAAATGTATATAGTCTAAAGTAACTTCATTATTGCAGGTCCCAAATCCTAATAAGAAAGAATGAGAGCTTAGATAATATAGAAATATAGAAAAATATAATTCAAAAATAGATCAGTACTTAATCTCTGTTCTATAAAAAAACATATATTCCTATTAATTTAATTTAATACATAGTATTCCTGATAAATACTCAACAATGAGCTTTTAATACGAACTCTTATTTATTTTATATTCAAGTAAGAGACACAATTTTATTACAAACAGAATTAAGAGCAGACATGATAGTAATAAATTCAACTATTGCTATCTTTTGTTTAAAAGATATATGTGTCCTAAATTTTTTTTGGACAGTAACATAAGATAATTTTAATTATAATTTTCGGATTTAATAAGTAAAATTGAATAAAAAAAAAGGTGATCCCCAACGTTCTTTTACGTGTGCTCTCCCCAAATTGCCTAAAACGTATAATTTTATTGTGCCTATTTACAAATTATAAATTATTGTATCCATTTGAATTATTATGATTGATAGAAGTTTTTGATAAGGTTATGTATGCGTGTGTGTGTAAATAATTATAAGAAATACAATCATATATATATAATATTTATATATAAAATTTATTAATTATAGGTATTGCTTGTATGATACTTGTATGACGATTGTATGACATTTATCTATAATTTTAAAATAAAAACATTCAAGTTGTTAAAGAGAAAAAGAGAATATATAAAATTTTGGTAATCAGATGTACAAAAACAACCTTTGGGAAAAGCTGTGATATTACTTTTAACGTTTTGAAGTTTTTTTATTATAGATATTTGCATTCTAATTGATTTATCATGCAATATTTCTATTCACATATTAAATGGAATTTTTATAATTGATAAATTTATAAAATAATGAGTGTACAACTATAAAAAAAATTTTCTTTAATTTCAGAACTGGCATTAAGACAAGGCAACAATGTCGAATATTATTATTAATATTGAGTATTTGAAAAGTTGGAATGGAATTTTTAAGATTCTACAATTGGTATATATTATTGTTATTATGTTAATTAATTTATTTAGATTGTTATAATTTATTGATTATTTCAAATATTTAATGTCATCTTTAACCCTTACTTTTCCTCGTCAGGTCGTGTCCAATATATACTTGCTAAAATTACATAGTTTCACTAATTGTCGTTGCCATTTCGTTTTTTAATCGTATATTAGAAGGTTGAAACTAATTATATATTTAAAATTGTGGTTGAAAATCAACTCTTTATGGCATAATCCTTTAACAGAGGCGTAAAACGCGATTAAATAACTCCACGATGGTGGATGAGAAAAATAATGACAAGGAGGAATAAGAATTAAGTGATGCAATTATTAATTAATTATTAAACAATATCAACGCAATTGTTAATTTTGTAATAAAAACATATGTATAACTAAATGCAATTAAATAATTCTGAAACTAAATGATTTAAATTAGATATGTGACATTGAATTTAAAAAATTAATTAAAACATATGTATAACTAAATGCAATTAAATAATTCTGAAACTAAATGATTTAAATTAGATATGTGACATTGAATTTAAAAAATTAATATTATTGTTTAAAATTTTTGAAAAATTTTTGAAGAATGTTTGGAATCCTATTGAGAGAAAACATAACGTTATATATAATATTTGAAATAATAGAATAAATTTATAATGTATATCACTTTTTGCTTATTGATTGCAACTCAATATATTTATACAATAATAAAATCCGCAATTCATATAAATATTATTAATATCTATTTCGACACGTTGTTCATTTACATATGAGATTATGTGTTTCTAATTAGGGTTTTTTTATTTTTTACTAACAGGTACTGGGTATGGTTTGTGTAGGAATCATTGGTAACGAGTTTAATAACGGAATTTTAATCTCATACACTCCACAATGTTTCTTTCTCGTCACAACATCTACTTTCTTTATTGGCACTTTTATTCTCTTTGCCAGTTATCTAATGTCTCCCTCCGCTACATCTATGATACCTAAAACAATTTATGTAAGTATTATAATTTTATATTCATTAATAAAATTGTAATTTATGAATTTTTATCCTATGTTATTTAATTTGTTAATCTTGTCTTCTCTTGTTCGTGAATCGAAGAAAAATTATTTGACATGTTAGAAATTATTTAAGAACTTATTTAATATAGCAAACGTAAATCATTTGAGAAAACTGTTTAATATAATTTATTTTAGAAGTTGCGTTGATTAATAATGTTTTTTTAAACTTTCAGGAATTCTTTTATCATACAGTTGCGTCAATATTATTACTTGCAGCTTCAATAGCAACAATGGTGCAGATAAATAGAGATAGTGCTTATATTAACTATGCGGCGTTATTAGCAGCTTCCGTAAGTACAATTATATTCGTAAAAAATAAAGTTTTTTAGTTATAATACAAGAGAAATTATAACAGAGTACACATACATGCATGCATGCGCGCGCGTATGTATTTATTATCAGTTTGCATATACTGTTACAGAGTATTATAGATTTAAACAATGAAATAATCTATAAGTTATTTCATATTATTGTCAGATTGAAATTAATTTTCTTTTGTAGTAAAAAATCCTAAAAAATAATTTGTTAAGTATGGTTAAGTATGTATTTTATAATTATACGTCAGGTATATTTATTATGTTATATTTATTAATCTTTTGTTAGTAAAGAAAGTGTGTTTATCTTTATTTATTTTTATTTAGATTTGCGGTCTGCTAAACACCATTTTATATATCTGCAGTGCGGTCATGGGCTATAGCACTTATGGAGATGATTAAAAAATTACAATATGTTAAACGTTTGTGATTTTTTAAACAGTAAAAATGGATTATTCTAATATAAATTGTTTTTATAATCTAGGCTGTTAAAAACTTTATTTAATCAAATTAATAAGAAAACATGTTGTAAAGAGAATTTTGACTCTCTTAAGCTGTGTTCCAAAATTCCACTCCCAGCGTTGAAAAACTATAGTTTATGTTACGTGTAGATTTTCAGCATTAACAGAATTTTGGAACACCGGTTTCTTACACATTATTCGGCGAGAAAAAGTTATCAATCTGTGTATACGAAGCATAGTGAAGAGAGCGTTGCGTTACATGCTGTCAATGGCAAGCTAAAAAATATAGTACAGATAGACCGAATATTTCATATGCTAAGCATGGGCTATACGTGCGAGAGAGAGAGAGAGAGAGAGAG